CATCATCTACAAAATGAGATTTTATATTAAAGATCTTTATTTACAATTATGTTCTGAATCGTTAAAAGTACATGGGAAGACTGTCTATCGTGGTCAAGGAATGTCTCAAGAAGCATTTGAAACAAGACTGAAACAAAACGTAGGCGGTTTGATGACAATGAATTTTTTCATGTCAACTAGCATCAACGAGAATGTTGCTTTAACATTTGCAAAAGCTCGTGAAGATCCGTCAGATGAATCACTTTTATCAGTTTTATTTAAAATTACAATTGATTCTAGAATACGTTCACAAGAATGCCCTTTTGCCAGCATTGAAAATAAAAGTAAATTTAGAGAAGAAGAGGAAATTTTAATTTCAGTCGGCTCGATTTTTCGAGTGAAAGAACCAGAAAAATTGCCGGATGGCATGTGGCGTGTCCATTTGATATTCACTGGAGCTGAAGATCAACAATTGAAAGCAGTGACAAATCTAATCAGAACAGAAATTGAATCGCCTAATGAAATGATTCGTTTAGCAAAATTGATGATACAAATGGGTGAATATGAAATGGCTGAACGATTTTATAAAAAATTATTAAAATCCGATATGTCGTCGCAAAAACAACATTGTTCTCTTAGTTTAATTTATAATGACCTTGGGTTAATTTACATGAAGAAAAATGAGAACCAGAAAGCACTTAAAAATTTTTCTAAATCTTTAGAATTACTAGAAAAATATGTACCGAACGGTGCTGCAGCGTTTGCAACACGATACAATAACATTGGTTCGGTTTATTATAATTTAGGTGAGTGGCAAGAAGCACTGGACAACTACAAACAAGCACTTGACATTAATCTACACGCTGGTGCAAATTCAAGAAAAGCTGCTGTTAGGTACAGAAATATTGGTCGTGTCTTATATAAAAAAGGCCAATATTCAAAGGCATTAGAAATGTATGAGAAAACGCTTGATATTGAGTTAAAAAATCTTCCACGTCACCCTTCCATGGCATATACATATAACAACATGGGGTTGGCATTCGATGGCCAATGCAATTATCAGAAATCAGAGAATAATTTAAAGCGAGCAATTGAAATATCGAGAAACACATTGCCAGCCAATCACCCATTGATAACAAATCGACAAGGTAATTTAGCAAATGTTCAACAAAAACTTAAAGGAGAATCCATCAAATAATGCGAACAGAGTAAATTCTGAACAGGTTGCGAAACACAGTTAGCAAAACATGTAAAGTTTTTCAAAAAATATCTTTTATAGATTCCTTTTACTTCGGAAACAAGACAAACATCGGCAAGATGTTCGGTGTGGCCCATCAATGTTTTCGCTACTTTCAAGGTTATCAATGATCAGGCACAAAGCTTCAGTTGTATCGGCAAAAATCTCTGATTTCTCCATCTGTATGAAAAATAGGTAATGGTCATTCTGGATTTTCGTCAAAGTATAGATCAAATATCGCCTACTTTGTGCAGATGACCACGAGATCATATCAAATCTCAATATGTAACAGATTCATTTTTTCGCATCATATTAAAAAAATGAGCATTTTCATTCGATGCTTCTAATACTAAAAAGTGTATAGAGAAGAAATCAAGTCAGAAAAGTTTCACTGTATGAGATATTTATATCTGAATATGTTCTAAATATGGTGTATTTAAACGTTTTTCTACGTTTCTCAGCAGCAATACAGACAATTAAATAACCTCATATTTTCCTCATAAAAATAAAATTCAAAATTCGATTTTATTCTGCTTTTCCCATCACCTTTAAAGGTATTCGATCACTGCTTGGTATATAACGGCTGGCTCAGCTAACTCTTCTATCGGGTGTAATTCCTTCGAACGGCAAGACGTTCGGAACTTATTGAAAAAAGTAGGTGCCTGTATGTTTTATCACATTTTCTGAATGGAAAGTCGTGTACGGATGCGGAAACATCTCAAACTGTGTGATATAATTTTCTTCTGAATTTGGAATGTCTTAGAGCTCTACATGTCTTGCGCTTCGGAGAACAAAAGAGAAACAAAATACAAAAAATCCGTGACGCATTTTTAACTGTGTTAAATTTTACGGAATGGCTATTGCCACCACCCGTGGTGTCCACAAGGAGCTATTGCCACCACCAGCAATATCAAATATAGTAGTGCTGACAGAATGAGAAACTATCTAAGTAGCTAATGGAACAGTGACAAGGTGACAAAGATTTCAAATTACATAACCGTTTACAAGTTTACCTAGGTCAGATTCTCTTGGATTATTTGGTAATATATCCCAAAAGAAAATGTATTTTGCCTAAATAATAATTTATATATAATAACAGATTGCGCAGAATGAATAGTGGTCTCAGTATTTTCTATTTTTCTCGTGTTTCTTTAGGCCACCACCGGTGGTGTCAACAAGGAGCTATTGCCACCACCAGATGGTGTCAACTACAGCTAGTGACACCACCAAGCAAAATCAAGAGTAGGTGGTGTCAGCTACGGGCTATTGACGCCATCAAGCTAAATTTTAAGAATGGGGCTGTCTACTCCTGAGAGGTACGTAATCGTGAAGGCTATCGGTTTGCAACTTCTGGGGCCATGTTTAATGACTTTCATGTTCTTTTTATATCAGTTTAAGTTCTTTGTTTGTTCTGTGATAAATACACATTAATCTGCCTTCCTATCTGTCGAACCGTTTATGCTGTGGTTTACCGTTCTCATTAAGTCGCCAACCATAAACAAAACGTTTAGAAATTGACTTTTTCGAAATTGCTGGAGAATCGAAATACTGGAAGAAATAAGACATGTAAGTAGTGGCGGAGCCAGCTGTGGGCGAGAGGGGGCTGAGCCCCTCTAAAAAATTTATAGATTTCGAGCATTAAATTTAAATGAGTTTACCTCTGACAGAGTTTAGAAAATTTCTGGGCTGAGCCCCCTCTAGATCAAACTCCTGATTCCGCCACTACATGTAAGCTCTTTTTGATATAGAAAAAGGCTAATTATTTTATTTAAAAATAATGTAATCATCTACGCACTGTCGATGTTTTGTGCTAACATAGAGGTTTTACATGGCAACAATCACCGTAATTTGGGA